GTTCTGCCGATGATCTCCTGCCTACATGTTACTTATATTTTTATATTGATGTTAATTTTACAAAAAAAAGTCACAAATTTTACTATTTATACATTAAAAATAGTAAAATATGTAATGTGTGTCGAAAATCACTCCAATGTAAACGTGGGAAAACTGTCGGTAATCGACTAAAAGTAACTAGAAGACAATAACAACGCCACGTGGTAACTTACGACTTATCATACAGCAACCCTTTGCTATCGCGCAGTGATACCTTTTCATCCACCAGGTGGGGTTGTACGTTCTTTTAGTGTATTTTTTGGGATGAAAATGCAAAATAACCCTTTTTTGGGTTAAAATTGAAAAAAACATGTTACAAAAAAAGTATATAAGATTTTCTAAAAGCATATGGCAAAGTTTTTTGATTTATTTGAAAATAAGTGAAAATAGATTTTCCAAGGACGGTGTCGGTGTCGCTTTTGGAAATTTGTTAACTTAATATAATAGAAGATGTTTCGTTTTAAATTAAGAAATGTTAAAATTATTAAGTTAAAAACATTTGATTTTAATGACACTTAAAATTAGACACAATATTATAGGTTACTAACTAAAAATTGAAAAAACAACAATAAATAATAAAAATTAATAATAAAAAATTGAAAAAATCAAAAAATTCTTAAAAAATTGCAAAATAACCCTTTTTCGGGTTAAAATTGAAAAAAGATGTTACATAAAAATAGTTTGTAAGATTTTCTAAAAGCATATATGCAAAGTATTTTGATTTATTTGAAAATAATTGAAAATAGATTTTTTAAGGACGGTGTCGTGGTCACGGGGTCGGTGTCGTTTTTCGAAATTTGTTAACTTAATGTAATAGAAGATGTTTCGTTTTAAATTAAGAAATGTTTAAATTATTAAGTTAAAAACAATTGATTTCAATGACACTTAAAATTAGGCACAATATTATAGGTTCCTAACTAAAAATTTAAAAAAACAACAATAAATAATAAAAAAACCATAAAAAATTGTTTATAAGTAACATTTTAAAAATAGAGTAATTTTAAAGGTATATATCCAAAAATTGCATAAAATTGCAAAATAACCCTTTTTTGGGATGAAAATGCAAAATAACCCTTTTTCGGGTTAAAATTGAAAAAACATGTTACAAAAAAAGTGTATAAGATTTTCTAAAAGCATATGGCAAAGTATTTGATTTATTTGAAAATAAGTGAAAATAGATTTTCCAAGGACGGTGTCGAGGTCACGGTGTTGGTGTCGCTTTTGGAAATTTGTTAACTTAATATAATAGAAGATTTTTCTTTAATTGCTTTTTACATTAAAAACTTTTTTGTTTGTTATTTTAAATATTGCAAATTTTCTTTCTCAAAATTGTGAAGTTTAAGATAGAAATTAAACTCTAATGACTCATTTTTATATGTATACATTTTTTGGGGGAAAAAAAATCTTAGATTCGAAATAAAAATTAAAAAAAAAATTCAATGGGGCATAAGGGGTTAAAAATAAAAAATAAGGATTAATTTTAAAATAATTGTTAAACATTTTTTTTTTTTTTTTTGAAAAAGTATACAAACGAGCTATTGATGAAATATTTAAAATACGATACTTTAAATATGAAATTTTATTAATACAATTTGTACAGAGTGATAGATGTTATCAAGTAAAACGCATGTTATTACCGTATATATATATATTATAAATATTGAATTCGTACAAAATTTTCTATTAACATAGAAAACATACAGAATATTAAGATTTGTTGCGTTTTTCCTAATGATAATAAAATCAATTCAAAATTTTATGATTTGTACTGAATTTATTAACATGTGGACACGCATATAAACAAAGAGTGTTAAAAAATGTCCATTTTGTCTCCCTTGATAAAATTAAAAAATTAAATTATAAACCTTATATCATTTATTTCTATTCGGAAGAGGAGAATTGGAAGAATTGTTATATGTTGCAGAAAATGACGACTCATTCCCAAGCAAAAATTTCTGTCAAATGCCGATATTGACAACAGGCGCAATCATGCACCAATATTTTTCTTACACTGAAAAAATATATTTGAATCAAATAAACTCTATTTTAACCAATAATTTCATTCAATTACGGGAATTTAAAGAAATATACAAATAAAAATATATATTTAAAAATATTTGAAGAAATTATTAGAATAATAAAATAAAGAGTAAAATGCTTATTACTGGTTACTATAATTTTGCCCGCACTGGAAAAATACAGAATTACTGCAAAATTTCAGTATTAGTAAACGTTATCATCCCAAACATATGCCAGTATTAGTTCAATATTGTCGGTCAGTACTTTGCGAGTAATTGCCAGAACTGGCGCAACACTGTGCCGGTTGTAAATTTTTGCTTGGGTTGTCAAATTAAAATAAAAATTTGATTGGTTTCCATTGTCCCCACTTGCTATTTATCATAATTCTCGTTAATAACCGCACCATTGAAACTTTAGTAATTTTTCTTCTTTGGCCTTTTGATAAATCAGGTGGCCATCAACTTTACTGATTTTATTGTTAAAATTTAAAAAATACTATAAAATTACTAAATTTTCACTAGAGCAGGGTGCGGTAGTTGAGGAGAATTATGACAAATGGCGAGTGGTAACAATGGAAACTAACCTATTTTTTTAATCCTTCAATTGGAGGAACTAGAAAATCTTATAAGAAATGTAAATCAATTTCATTTTTGCATTTTAGATGAACTATACTTGCGAAATTCTGGTCACCGGATTTCATGTTTTTCCCAAAGGCGTCACTTCGTTGGCTACACATAAAGCTTTTGATAAACAAAAATTTTTGTTAATTAAAGTTCTAGACATGTACTTTTAGGTAATAAATAATATTTTTTAAAAAAATGTATTATTGAAAAAAACCTTTTTTTTCGCGTTACAACTAATGTACCCCCTTTAAGCAATACTAGGATATTTTTGATTGGATAAAAAATGTTAGTCATCCAAAAAGCGGATAGTTTTTTTTTAAAATAGACTTTTTTCAAAACACCACGATTTTGTCATTTTTTAATTATCCTAGTTCATTTAATGCTCAAGGTTGGTTTTCATTGACCCCCCTCGCCATTTGTTATAATTTTTGTCAACTGCCGCACCATGCTCTAGTGAAAATTTAGTAATTTTTAATTTTAACAATAAATTTACTAAATTTTTACTAAAGCTTGGTGCGGTAGCTGACGAGAATTATGACAAGTGCCGAGTGGGAACAATGGAAACCAATAAGTCTCTACCATGAAGTAGTATAAGGAGCACTCACTCTATAGGCAGTTTTTGAAAATTCTTCCCCAGCCTTTCCAGATTTAATAGAAACATTTACATATCCCCGATACTAACAACCCTAGCGGAAAAGCGAGGAATTACAGGTCACGTGGTACATTGTTATATAAGTGTTTGTGTATAACTGTCAGTTGGCGTTTTTTTTTTTTTTTGAAATGTGTTTGATGCGAGTTAATTTTGTGTAATTATATAAATAAAAAAGTGAAAAATGAGGCTGCTAAATTGATCAATGAATCAGCATTAACACAGGCAACTTTACTTGATAAAAATTATTTTTTATGTATTTGAATGTTAACAAAATACTTGCTGAACTTGTCATTAAATTTTGTTTGTTTACATGTAAATATAACCTAAAAATAAAAAAAAATTAAGAAATTTCGTTTGAAATATATACGGCTACAATGAAAAATAATTATTTATATTCCCTGGCGGATCTCGAAATCGGAATGTACGATAAATTCGTTGTACATTCGTTACACATTGGTTAAACATTTAGTTGGAGTAAAAATTGTGTAGAAACGGAGTGGAAACTGTGGAAAAGTGTAATTGAATTGAATAATAAAAGTATTTAGTGATAGATTTGTGCTGTATTTGTGATAAATTAACGTGTTATTACTAAATAAATAAAGTTTAAAGTGTAAAATGTTCGCGTAAGTGAGTTTGATAGGTTAGAGAATTTTCTAGTGACATCCAAATTGATAGTCGATAAAGAAGTTGAGCCGCCGACTTTGCACGGTAGATGGCAGCATTCATACTTTCTCCTTTTTAAAAATTCTCTTTTTCAATTGTCAATAGAAAAATTAATTAATTAATAAGTTATATAGTTTCTATGTTGTCATTTTTTTTAACAATTGAATTTTTGAAGATTGTTTAATGAGATAAATTAAACTTGTATAATCGATGAAAATTGTTGTTTTTAAAATACTTTTAAATAAATCTTTTCTTTTCATTACATTTATATTAAAAATAAATAATAATAAAATAAAGAAAGATAAAAAAATTTTTCTTTATTAAAATTATGATTAAATTAATTTAATTGAATTTAATTAAAAAACAACAATTTGCATCGATTATACAAGTTTAATTTATCTCATTAAACAATCTTCAAAAATTCAATTATTAAAAAAATGGCAACATAGAAACTATATAACTTATTAATTAATTAATTTTTCTATTTACAATTGAAAAAGAGAATTTTTAAAAAGGAGAAAGTATGAATGCTGCCATCTACCGTGCAAAGTCGGCGGCTCAACTTCTTTATCGACTATCAATTTGGATGTCACTAGAAAATTCTCTAACCTATCAAACTCACTTACGCGAACATTTTACACTTTAAACTTTATTTATTTAGTAATAACACGTTAATTTATCACAAATACAGCACAAATCTATCCTTAAATACTTTTATTATTCAATTCAATTACACTTTTCCACAGTTTCCACTCCGTTTCTACACAATTTTTACTCCAACTAAATGTTCAACCAATATCTAACGAATGTACAACGAATTTATCGTACATTCCGATTTCGAGATCCGCCAGGGTTTTTATTATTTTTTTTATTTTTATATAACTTACAACAAATTATTGCAATTCCTTTATTATTTTATTATGAAACATAATTAAAAACAAATATTTTAAAAATCTAAATTATACATTCGTATATAAATAAGCAAAAACTTACCAATTTTCAAATATATTTTCAAATAATTTATGTTTTATTTAAAATTTTTGTGTGTAACTTTTTTCTTTCTTTACAAGTCAAGTCAAATAGTTTTATTGAGATTAAAAATTTGTACACTTTTTCTAAAATTATTATATATCACTTTACACTGTTTACTATATATGAGAACAGCTGTCACTAGGTGCGGCCATATTTTGAAAACTTCTAAGTACACTGCTTTTCAGCTACAGGCGTCATAATCGGAGATATGTAATTTCGGATTTATTCTCATGTAAGGGGCCTATATGCTTAACAATAGTAGTGAGTGCTTCTTATACTACTTCATGGTCTCTACCATGTAGCTATTTATGCTTGAAAAAAATCTATTCTTGATTTGTAGTAAAATATATTTTTAAAGTTTCAAAACATTCGATAGAAAATGTTTCTTTAAAAAAAATTCCCCAAAAACACCTTATTTTTCAGCCGTTACACTGGTATAATAATGAAAAGCATTTGGTATTTTGTACTGATATTGCTAATAGCAACAATTGTATTAAAATTGTATTTTTTAAAAATTCAGTTATACTACGGAGACCAAAAATAACATGTTTTTAAACACACTTCTATTTGAATATTTTATAATAATTTTGTAATTAACGTCTACGGAATTCAAATGGGAGATCTGGAATTTGATAATTATATCCAACATTTGGTCTGTAAGTGCTTGGTGGTATAGTTGGCGGTGCCGCAGGAAAACCTGTTGGAGGAGGAGAAGTGGACGTACTAGGTGTTATACTATATAAAGCCGTTGGATAGGGTGGAGGTGTTACAGTAGGATAATTTGGTCTTGGAGAAGAAGGTGGTAAATACGGAGGTGGTCTACTGCCTGGTTGGGAAGGTAATCTTGGAGATGATGTTGATATCTGAATCGATGGCGTGTATGTTTGCGTAGGTTTAGATGGTTGAGTAGGAATTCTTGGGGTTTGTGGTGAAGTTCCAAAAGATGGAACGAAAGGTGTGTTTGTTTGTGTTGGCCTAGTTGGTCTACTACCTGGTTGAGAAGGAATTCTTGGAGTTTGTGGTGAAGTTCCAAATGATGGAACAAAAGGTGTATTTGTTGGCCTACTCGGTTGAGAAGGATATCGTGGACTAGATGGCGATGTTTGAATTGATGGAATAGAAGGTGTGATTGTCTGTGAAGGTTTAGGTGGTAAATAACCAGGAGGTTTCGTACTTATTGATGGTGAATATCTATTAGTAAATGGTGTTTGTGGAGATGGTGTATTAACCTTAGGCGTTGATTTTGGGAATTGGGTGGTTAATTTTTTGGGTGGTAACGTATATGTAGATTGTGTTGGTACACGAGGTGATTGTGGTTTTCTAGTTGTAGGTAATGCAGGCGGAATGTAAGGTGGTTTTGTTTGAGGAAATGTTACGGGTTTTAAAGTCGATTGTGGAAATGATGGAACATAGCTTGGTTTAGTGACTTGAGATGGAGAAATAAATGTTGATGGAGATATAGGACGAGGTGTTTTAGTTAAAGGTCGTGGAGTTGTTATTGTAGGTAATTGTCGTTGAGTTGTAATTGCAGGTAATTTTGGAGTGTTTCTGAAGGTAGAAGGTGAAGAAGTTATTGAGAAAGGTGTCTTTGGAGTAGTGTAGACATATCCATCTTGAGGGAATTTAGGTTTTTCACTTGGAACTGTGGATGGTTTTGTAGATTTTGAAACTTGAACGAATGGTGTAGGTGAAGTAAATCGATTCGGAGAGTATGGTTGTTTTGTGGTTGGTATAGGTGAACGTGAAGGAACAGAAGGAAAAGGTGATTTAGTGGATGGACTTGGTATTGTTTTTGTTTGAGTTGGAATTCTATTAATTGGATTAGAAGTTGAACTTGGGAATGTAAAACGTTGTTTTGGAGTTGTATAAACATATCCATTGCCAGAATTTGGTATTAAATTTTTTCCATTTGTGGGATTTGTTTGTGGAAATGTAGCTGGAGTAATTGTTTTCTCTGGAAATGAAGGCAAACGTGGAGATGATGTAGGTGACAAAGGTGATGAAGACGATAAAGGGCGAGATTTTGTTGTAAATGGTACTGCTGTTGGTGGCCTTGTAGATTGTTCTCTATAAAAAAAATAACAAACAAATTTTGATATATAACAAACAAGATATAAATAATTCATTTTTTACTTACACAGTTGGTAGTTTGAAAGGCTTGCCTGGTGTTGGGTAATTGTAACCATCAAAGGATTTTTGGTTTCTTGAATCATTTTCGATAGCTCTTTTACTTCTTTCATGTGTATAACAAAGTGCCGGAATTGTTATCAAGATAGTTATCCATGTTAGTCTCCTCTAAAAATTAAAATAAATAAATAATATAAATTCTTAAAAATATTTATAAATAAAATAATAATTCCAAAATCATCATCTTTGCAATATTTCTTTACTCATTTTGTTTTTAATTTTAAAAAAATTGAATAATTATATAAATATAGTAATAACCAATTTTTGCTTTTTGTATAATAAAAGTATTTAATTAAAATAATTAAAGTAATTCGCCCCATTGTAAAAATTAATAAATAAATCTCCGTATCAAAAAATGGAAATAAATCATTAAGACTACATTTAACGAGTATTCTAAATGAAAAAATAATTTCCAAAAAATCAGATGCAAAAAGAAAAATGCTATACGATTTAGCGTGGAATGCTCCATATATAATAGCAATGTATTAATAAAAAAAAATAATTATTGTAATTTAAAAAAAAAATTTATGACAATCTTCATCCATGGCAATCAGATAGAATGAAGGAGGTATCTTAATTATGCAACTAGCCCGGAGCAAAAATGGTCGATGAGTTTCAGAGTGACCCGTGTCCTTTCGTAATAATAATAAATACCTTGTCCTCCATCTTTCACATTTCTGTCTCTAATATTAACTGTGTGGTATTCAAGAAACATTGCATAATACAAGAGACAAAATTAAACGGATATTGCTTCCATCTTACATATATATATTTTTTTAATTAAAAATAAATTTATAAATTTACAATTAAATTTAACAATTTTTGTAAAGAAATATAACGTTTCTACAAATTAATTCTAATTTCAAACGGTTTATTTCATGTTTTTTCTGTAAGAATATGATAAAATAAAAAAAAAATTTCTTAAAAATTAAAGTAATAATTTTTATTTTTTATTGATCAAATGAAAAGTATTTTTACAAATTTTTAACTTAAATGAGTATGACATAAGGAGCAGTTGACCAAATGTATACTTATGTGTTTCATGTTATACCTTATCATCGCATCGTTTCGTAAATGATGTCATGAATATTAAAAAAAATTTAATAAATTATTAAGACCCGGCACAAGTATTGCCATAAAATTATTCTAATTTTTCAAAACTTGTTTTTTTGTATTAAAAAACAAATTTTTTTAAAAAATATTTTTTTCGACAGAATTAGGCAGCTTTACCACCTTAATGATTTGTGATTATTATTTTTAAAATAATTATAGATACATTGCCAATAAGTGGTTTTCATCATAGGCTGACAATAATAAACGGATTTTCTTTGAAACAAACAAATTGTTTTTTTTTTAAATCACTTTTTGAATCAAAGATGAAATTTATTTGAATTAAAAAAAGTTTTCATTGCTTTTACGAAAAAAAAATTTTGCATTAAGGAAATTTTTTCTTTGAATGATATTTTTAACGTAGAGAAATTTTGTTGAATCAAAGAAATATTTCTTTTGAACTTAAGTACGCTGAGTTACCAGTTTATACTAACTTTTAACTACTTTTTCACTAGAGCAGGGTGCGGTAGTTGACGAGAAATATGACAAATGTCGAGTGGGGACAATGGAAACCAACAAAGCGTGTGGATTGATTAGTTTCCATTGTCCCCACTCGTCATTTGTCATAATTCTCATCAACTACCGCACCCTGCTCTAGTGAAAATTTAGTGACTTTATAGGTTGGTTTCCATTGTCCCCACTCGTCATAATTCTCGTCAACTACCGCACCCTGCTTTAGTGAAAATTTAGTAACTTTATTTCTAAAATTAAAAGTTACTATAAAGTTACTAAATATTCACTAGAGCAGGGTGCGGTAGTTGACGAGAATTATGACAAATAGCGAGTGGGGAAAAAGAAAAGAAACCTACAGTAACTTTTAATTTTAACAATAAAGTCAGTAAATTTTCACTAGAGCAGGGTGCGGTAGTTGACGAGAATTATGACAAATGTCAAGTGGGGACAATGGAAACCAACCAAGCGTGTGGATTGATTAGTTTCCATTGTCCCCACTCGCCATTTGTCATAATTCTCATCAACTACCGCACCCTGCTCTAGTGAAAATTTAGTAACTTTATTTCTAAAATTAAAAGTTACTATAAAGTTACTAAATATTCACTAGAGCAGGGTGCGGTAGTTGACGAGAATTATGACAAATGACGAGTGGGGACAATGGCAACTAACCAATTGCAATTCGCGCAGGGATGCCAACATTGATGTCATACTAAAATATTACATGAGTATTAAATATTATAATAAACAATACGGTAGGTTATTAACCTTAATTACTTAATATTATGTCAATTAAATGTAATTTATTACGTAAATAAAAACTTATTTTGTAAAAAATGTTATAATATTTGATACTCATGTAATATTTCAGTATGACATCAAAGTTGGCATCCCTGCGCGAATATTGCGAGCCACATGCTTCTAACGTCACGGAAAAGAATTGAAATTTTTTATTTGAATCAAAGAAATAAATTTTTTACTTTAATTCACAAATTTAAATAAAACATACATTTATTTAATTTTGAGATTGTTAATATTTTCGTATTTTGATTAAAATATAATTTAAAAATATTAAATTAATTATATATCTTTGAAATAGTTTAAAATTTATTTCAAAAACAGTTTAAAATGAACTTTTACAAATATGTGGTTTTACAGCATTTTATACCTTATAAAAATGTAAAACACTGAACAAAACTTAATGATAGAATTTTTATCAAGAAGAAAACAATCGATTCACTATTTCCACATTTCACATATCACTTGTAAATCCCAAGGACACGAACAATTCACAAACTTCTTTATCACTCATTGTATAAGGAAATTTAAAACAAAATTTAGTTGTACAAAACTGTTTAGATCATAAATCTGATTATATTAATCACTTCATGAACACGCTGCCAATACACAGTAGCTGTTTACGAATTTACGTAGTCTGCGCAAACCCAGTCGTGGTAACTCAGCGTACTTAGGTTCAAAAGAAATATTTCTTTGATTTAAAGAAATTTTTTTTTTAGGTTAAAAATATATCATTCAAAGAAAAAATTTCCTTAATTCAAATTTCTTTTCATAAAAGCAAAGAAATTTTATTTTTAATTCAAAAATTTCTTTGATTCAAAAAGTGATTGAAAAAAAGTGTTTGTTTCAAAGAAATCTTTTACTTAAAGGAAGCATTTTAACTTTTAATACCATATATACAAGAGTAAATTAAATTTCCATTTTAAAATCTTTATGAAAATGTAATTTTTACACACACAGACAAAATGACATTTAAACAAAGTGCGATTCTTGTCTATGATGTAAAACAACATAAAGTTATGAGTAAATATTCTATAAGTTGAAAACTTTTAATATCATAATACTTCATCAAAACCTAGTAATTTTTTTTGAAATTAATAAAATAATTCTTGTATATTTAAATATTACCATTAGTTTAATTGCAAAAATTAAAAATAAAATCTTCACACCCATAATAATTAGATGAATTTTTTTTTGTATTTTTTACTTTTAGAGAAATATGAGTATTTAATAAGTCTTATTATCTCATGATAATCTCATCTCTAGGTGGGGGGGGCGGATTTTTGAAAGTTTGTTCCATACTTATTATGTCAGGGAAAATTTGACTTTAATATCTCCAAATAATGAAAATAAATTATATTTTTACAATTTAAATTATTAATGTAGAATTTTTACTCAATATTTAAAGCGTACTTACCATTATGTACGCTTAACACGTAAAGTTTTTTTTTTTTTGGTTTAAGTGAAAATAATATGCTATTCGAGATGAAGTACGTTGATACATAACTTCTGAGATTCACACGATTCAGCATTTATAGGATTCACCTTGTTAGCAAAGTGGGGATCACTGTAAATGATGGTCCGAACGACTATACTGTAAACTGACTACCTTTAAAGATGCTGCAATTCTTCTTCACTATAGTGAGCGGGAGGATAAGAGAGTAACAGAAAAAGTAATAGAGAGAGAGAGAGAGAGAAAGCAACTAAAGGTGAGAGTGTCCAGATACAAGATGAACAAGTAGCCTCCAGTCGGAAAGGTCCAGTAAATCTGCTTCGGAGAATTTGAGCAGCTTAAATAATTATAAATATGGGCGAATCCACGGAACCGTATGATTTAAAAAAAAAAAAAAAAATTTTTAACATTTTAAAATTGTATAGCACACCTTTTATTTTTAGATATATAAGTGTTCGAAATATAGTTAAAAACAAAATTTTCTTTGCGTGAATCATTTTTATATACTACTAAAAGAATTATAATTAAAAAAAAGTCTATCAAAATTTTGTTTGTCAAGATATCATTTTTTTTTAACTAAAAAAACAAATGACTACTAAAACATGTATAATAAAAAATTAATATGGGGCGGTTCAAGTTCTACATATTTAGATTCTACACCGTATAAATTCTACAATGTTGTATTCTACACAAGTTCAATTTTGCACAATTTATTTGTTAAATTCTACACATTTAAATTGCACACCGACAAACTCTACACAACATTCATATTCAAAAATAAAAATTGATTCGTTAAATTCCACACAGTTAAATATGTGTTTCCAAATTTCAGAATTGGATTCTTTAAAATTTCTTTATAATAAACCATTACATATCCAATTTCGCGCGTTTAATTTTACTAGTAATAAAATAAAATTGGTTATTCTTACACGGAAAAACATTTTATATTAAAAGACAATAAAAATGGTAATACATTTTGACATACTCGATATGAAAAGGAGGCTATTCACGGTTCGCTAATAGTTATTCATAATATTATTTGAATATTTGAAATTACGATATGGATACTTACTAGTGAAAGAAAATGACATTTAATATAGTATCTTAGAAAAATTAATTTTTGTCGATATTAAATTTGAGACAAGTAATTTTTAATAGGGTACTTAATGAAGAAATGTAACTGAAAATATCAAGAATTAAAATAATAGTTAGGGAATTTTAACATAGTAAATATGAAAAGACCTTAAAACCATAGCCGCATGTATAACGATGTGAAAAATTAAAATTTTTACTTTAGAAGTTTAATATCGACCACTATTGATTCTTTGTGGGCCCTGGCTTCGTAGATGACCGATAATTGACTAATTCACCCGAATGAAGAATGAACGTGCCGCGCGGGAACAACCTAACCAGACAAATCAAAACGTGCACGATTTTAGACGGTGTTTTTGTTCAAAAATAATAAAATTAATTTCAATTAATAAAAATCTGCCACCTATACGATAAGATTTAACAATTTTCAATCACTAATGAAAATTTCCAAAAAAAGGTCAAATAACTAAATTATTTAATGAAAAGTGGTGTTAAAACTCCTCTCCGTAACATCAGATTTTATTCAATATTTCAGTTATTTAGCCTTTTTTTGAATTTTTCTTTAGTGATCCGATTGAAAATTGTTAAATCTTAATAACAGAATCTTTAATAATTTCAATCAATTTTATTATTTTTGAACCTCCTGGATAACTTCATACTAAAATTGATCATTGCAAAAATACTACTAATTAATTATAGTTCGTTGCATATTATTTTAAAATAAAATTGTTTTAGGAAGACAATTATATAATCATCGTTTCTCACAAGCGCAGAAAAATTCTGCCGTTTAGTATATAAGGAAAATTCTGCCTTCACCTCTCAGCGTAGTTGCGAGCGAGCGTTTATATGTATTATGCGTATTTAGGTGTATATAGGTAGTTTTAAGTTAGGCTGTTAGGTAGAGATGAATGTATAAATGTGTGTCTCAATGTATTCTAGTTCTCCATTTCACTCAAAACCTCAATAAATCTGTCGTTCTTTCCTTCTTCATTTCCCCATTTCTATTCTTTTATGTATGACTCACCAATTTTTAACAGTGTCAATATTAAAATTCACTTTTTCGAACTAACTGTTAAATATTACTATAAACTTTTTTGATTATGAATACTGTATATGTGAATTTTAGAAATATTGAGAATTGATTTACAGAATTAACAGTGACTATAGTGATTTACAATATTGTCCATGAATAGCCGCACTTTACTATAGTACAATTTTAAATTATGCTTCCAGTTTTATTGTTTTCTAATGGCGCACTCACACCTTTTTTGGCTGCCTGCCTGCCTGCAGGTTACCATGGCAACGCACGAGTGTGAGTGAGACAGAAAATTTGAATATTCAAATTTTTAAATTTTCTGTCGCACTCACTCTCATGCGTTGCCATGGTAACCTGCAGGCAGCCAAAAAGGTGTGAGAGCGCCTTAATATAAAATGTTTTTCCGTGTATTTCAATTTTTTCTATCTATAGGGTAAGTCCGGGGGAGTTGGCCATAGTTTTTTTAAAAGTCTGTAAAAATAAAAAGAAAGTGATTTAAGTATTAACTTTTATTGATAATTAAACATTGAACATTTAACTTACAAAAAATGATAGAAATGAGAAATTTTTTAAATGCAAACAATCTTCAAATTAATATTTTTTAAAAAACGCGTTTGGCCATCTCTCCCGGAATGTACGAGGGAGATGGCCAATACTTTAAAATCAATTTTTAGCTTTTCGCTTTATCAAAATTTTTAATTTAAAGGGATTAAAGTCTTTTTTTCTTGTTCTGACTACATTTCGAACATTTATGATTAAATTCAGTGCAATTTTCATAAGCGCTGTCTGTTTGTCTGTCTCACCAACACAACAAGGCTACAAGGAAATTTTTCGAGATATCAGAGTGGTTTCTAATTTATTTTTGTGTCCTGAACATGATTCCGGGTTCTAAAAATACGTATCACGTCAGGATTTTGAATAAAGTGGGGGTAAAGTCTCCAAAAACCGTGTTTTTGAGTGTTTTCAGTATTTTTTTTCCTTAACCTGACGTGATAGAGACTTTTATATAGGCTTAAATTAAAGCTCATATCTTACACTTTAAGACACATAGGTATGCGCAAGATAAAAAAATTGAAATTTTGAAAAAAATTAGTTTCAAGTCACTTAAAAAGATTTTTGGGGTCATTACCCCCATTTTATCAAAATTTCAAAAAAAATTTTATTTTGCGCATATGGGTCTTAAAATGTACGTTTTAAACTTCAATTTAAGCCTAGATAGAAGTCTCTAGCACGTCAGGTTAAGGAGAAAAAAATACTGAAAACATTCAAAAACATGGTTTTTGAAGACTTTACCCCCACTTTACTCAAAATCTCACCTCGAAAAAACATGGCCATCTCACCTAATGTCAGGAGACAAATTAACACAACTAAAATATAAATAAATAAATAAAATTTTTGAATATATATAAATTTATAACAAAGCTTGGGTCATGTACTTTACAGAAAAAAATAAAATTAAAAATTATTTTATAAAATAACATAACACCAGTGAGAAACGTAAACTCATCACTTTTTTTCCAAACTAGTCAAAATAACAAATCAGATTTTTAAATACTTTTTCAATATTTTTCGTCAAGTTTTTTCTTTTAATTGTGTTTTGCCACAAAACAAAGCGAACTAATCTTTAATAAGCGATACCTAGCAGAAAATTCTATAAAATATTTGAATTGGCCATCTCTCCCGTATGGCCAACTCCCCCGGACTTACCCTAAATGCAATAAAAAAAATTTTGGCCTGTGTTAACAGTTACCGTGGTGCGGTATGAGTCGACCGCCTCGACGCAAAAAATCTTTGACATTTAATATCTCGAAAACAAAAAAAATTGGCATTCTGAAAATTTATATACAGATCGGAAAAAACCTCAGTTTTGGTTTGCAATTATTTATTTAAAAAAAAAGCATCGATTTTAGTGAAAATAGCAAATTTATGTTTAATTATAGAAAATCAAGGTCAAAATTCAAAAATTTTTAAAAACGAAATTCACCATTGGAAGAAGCATGGAAAAACCTTCAAAAAACATACCTGCCAAAATTTTTTTTATTGAATTTATTGACAGAAAAAATTCAAATAGTAGGCGGTGTCAGGGAAAACTGATAAAATTGACCCCCTTCTCTATCTTACCCAAAATTTCAAAAAAGTCAAAAATTTTTTTGGGAATATTTTACTATCAGGTAGGACAACAATTTCCCCAAGTTTCACTTTTTTTCGAGAAATCAATTTTTTAACTCAGGACATTACACGTAAAATATCTCATTTGTATATTATTATTAGAATAAGTAGAGAAAATATTAAGTTTAAAAGTACAATATTTAAAAATTACATTGATTGCATAAAATTAAAATAATAAAATAAGACAATTCGTTGAAATGCGAACACCTGGACGTCTAATCAACATTTAATATTATTCAAAAGTTCTTTAGAATCCCGTGAAATATGAATTTTATTTTTTGGAAGAGTTGAGTTCGAGACTCTTTAATTTTAGATACGCAGCATATTTTGTTCTCAGAATATTGATAAAATTTTTCTTTGAAATTTAAAGTTATACCTAGGTCAAAAAATATCTAAATTCGATAATTTGCAAAAAAAATTTTGTACCACGCAATTACATTCAGCAAAATTTTTATTGGGAAATTCTATGGAAAATGCGTAGAAATTTAATAGAAATTCTATGAAAATTCCAGGGGGCACTTTCCGGGGCATCTTTTTTACAAGGGTGTCATGAATAGTGTAAATGTAAATTATTTATTTATTCATATTATAAATGATATAAATAACATTAAAAAAGAGCAAAGAGAAAAAATGGTTGCGAGTTTTGAACATAACCCAGTGGGCAAAAAACCATGTTCATTTTAAAACCGTTTCATGTCTGCCAAATTATTTTCAGAAATATTTTAAGAACATAGATGTTCAAATAATGTTCTAGAACATTATTTGACAGATATGAAACGTTCTTAAAACGTTTTTAAAACGAACATGGTTTTTTACCCACTGGGAACATTCTCTATTAGT